GAGAGTGACGGCCACCATCTCCTCAGCTGCAGGTAGAGAGTGACGGCTACCATCTCGGACCAGGAGGTAGAAGTCACATACTGGGCAAAGGGCCATGGGTCCGTGACCCCCCAAGGCCAGCGCTGGACTTCCCTATGCTACAGGGAAGGGAAGAAGACACTATTTTGCACAGCTTTTATTCTTTTGGGGGTTTTTTGGAGGAGGTGTTTGCAGACAAATTTGTCCTGATACAGAGATATGTCTCTCCCTCCTGCTTGCTGTGTTGATGTCCTGTAGGCGGCCTATGGAAACCAAAGTCACTAGAGGCCATAGAAAGGGCTAGGATGCCAAGGGTCCAGGTGAGTACTTGGAGGTGCAGGGAATGGCAGGCAGGGCCTCCCCAGAGTGTGGGGTGACAGCAGGAGCAGGGGGTCAGGGTGGGAACACTGAAGGGGACAGTGCAGAACACTTCTGATCACAACGACTTTCCTTGTCTTAACCCTGCTGTCTCTGAGTCGTGACTGCAAAGGAGCGTGACTGCTCAGGAGTTGGCTGAACAAACTTGCAAGGGTCAAAGAACAAGAGAAACACTGTCCTAAGACAAAATGAAACAAAGCAAAACAAAAAGGAGGGTGGGAGGGAGGGGGAATTTTTTTCAGAACTTCGCCAACTCTGACCAACTTGAAAAATATTCCTATACCTGTCGTACAAAGGACTTGCCGTGTGGCTGCCAGCCCTGCACAATGTCCTTGCCTCCCCTGCTCAACTCTGCGTCTGCGCAGCTGTGTAGCCCCTGCAGGAGCGAGTGAGGTCAAAGGGGGGACAGGATACCTTGCAGGTTAGGGTTTCTATTTGTAATTAAGAAGTTCCTGTTTCTTAGATGTAAAGCGCAAAACATTTTTCAACCCACGCTGAACTGCGACTCCATTCATATGGTGTACATCCTCACGCTCTTGGTCCTTCTCTTTCATTGTATTTTTCTAATAGCCGACTCTCTCGCCCCTGTGAGTACCTTACCTCTCCATAGAAATGACCCTCAAGAGGCCAGCATGAGCTGCTCTCTCAGACCCCGACGTAGGGTGAGGCAGTCGGCTGGCCAGTCCTGGGTGCACCCCAAATCACAGCTTGCTCTAATTGGACAGTCGTGGATTTGGTCTTTTCTCCTCGGTCTTTTCGGGTCTAGCCTGAGCTCTGACACTCAGTGTCCCCATCCATCTGAATAGTAAGCCAGTCTTTGGCTTGTACTGTACTGGTACAAATATTCGTCTCCCACAACTTTGGCCTTAGTTTCTACCTAACGCCCAGGCCCCGATAGCTACCCAGGTGTCCCCTAGAATTCCAAGGGGCCTCCCCCCAGCTCTCTAGCTCTTCAGAAGCCAGTGCCCCTTGAGGTGCGGCCCTGAGATGCTGCCTGATGAGGAGCCCTGTGAAGCCGAGGCTGGGAGCAGAGGGAGCCTAGACCAAGGACTTCTGTTCTGTGCGGCTGTCCGTCTCTTGTCAGAGTCTCATCGCAGAGGCCCTACTATGACAACCAGGCCCGTCCCAGAGGAGCCTCCACCTGCTGATGCTGCCAGAGAGAGGCTGTGGGCTTGTCAGCTTCCCTGTCTTTGCCACATTAGCTGTTTTGAAGGAAGGGCCACCCCCCTCAGCCCCTCAGCTGCTTCTTTCTGCCCCTGAGCACCCTAACTTCAGCTGTCCTCCCCCCCAGCAGCTTGGGGTCAAGCTCACCATCTGTGGGCAGCCTGGGGTTCTGAGCCTTCCTGGCCTCCAGATAGGACATAGATCCCAGCCCCCAACCCCCAGGCACCATGGGCCAACCCTGTAGGGGAGCAGCTTAATGACCTTGTGAGCAGTAATTACACCCTAGGGCCCACTGTTAATAACCAGTATTCCCCGTCAGTGTGCCTTAATTGAAAATGAGTAGGCGACAGGAGTTGCTGTGAAGTTGGCTGGCAAGCCCTTAACGTGATATTAATTGTGGTAATTAGTAGTCACTTTGTGTTGGAGTCATCTATAAATAGGGGGTCCATTAGTTTAGCAAAAGAGCATGATTTAAAATGCAAAGAAAAGCCCAATTAGTCAGCTAAATCACTCATCTTTCTGAGCAAAATCTGACGTTGTGTAGACCAGCAGCCATTTGAGGGTCTGGTCAGTTCCGGGCCTCTGAACACTGCAACAGCCCAACGGCAACAGCGTCCCTTTAAGTGGACTTAAGTCTCTAGTTCTGTGATGTTTCCTCCACACTGTTGGCACAGTTAGTGGTCACACTCCCTAGCAGTTCCTCCCTCTGCCTCCTGATTGGTTTCCTCTAGTGGCACGGGAGTGCGTCTTAAAGGAAGAGTAGCACAGGGCATGCCAAGACTGGGAGCCTGGGTGGTGGAAAGTGGGCTTCTCTCTTTAAATGCAGCTCTTGACAGTCCAGCCAGACTGAGCCACCAATGCCAAGTGTCCTGTGACCCAAACGGACTTTGTGACTTGAGGCACACACTGAAAGTGGACTCAGTATTCCTCACAGCCTTGGGGTGCAGAGTAAGGGAGCAGCTGGAAGGCCTGAGAAGACTCAACTACAAGGCTGGGGGTGGGGTGGGGGTGCAGCGGTGAGATTCCCAATACTTTTGTTTGAGGAAACACAGAGGTGGGGGAGGCTGCTGAGATGCTACCACCTGGGACACAGGTCATGCCAGCTGAGGCAAACTCCACCCTTCCCCCACAGTCTGCCTACTCCTCACCCCTCAAAAGGCCACCATTCCTGTGAGGCCCCCTGAGGTTGCTTTTCCTGAAATTTGTGTTTTATCAAGAGAGGCAGCAGCCGTTTCTGAGCATAGTAAGAAGAGAAGTTGTCCACTCTTCCCCAACTAAGGAGTAGTGAGCTGTCCTTCATCAGTCTTTCTCCAGTGACTCAGCGTTTGTAACAGGTGGTCGGGCTTGCTATTCTGAATGTCCTATTTGATAAAATAAAACATTGGCAACCCTATGTTGGTCCCAAAAATATCTTTTGCCAGGGAATGAAATCCAAGTGTCTGGGGCCGCAGAGCTAAACGGCTGAATCAGGAACCTGAGGCTGAATGACTCATAGCTGTATGCATGAAGGGTGAGTGTGCGATCGCTCATGGGTGCGTGCATGCATCTGCTGGCGGGTGGCTGGTGAAATAAGGACATCATTGTCCAAGATTCCCCGGGAAGAGAATTCAGGGTGGCCTGAGGATTACGCGGAGGCCTGGGGGCCATCCACCCACGTTGTTGTCTTACCCTTGAGGAGAAACTGAGTCTCAGCCTACTGTCCCAAGCCACACGGTGAGAAGACAGTCCAGGCTCTAGCTATTGCACACTGGCAGCCTGCCTTCCCAGCCGGAGAGCGTCTCCTGCACAAAGATTGGAAGAGACAGACGTGAGGAAAATTGAACCTGCTTGTCTCGCTCCCGAAAAGGGAAAAAACCGGGACAGCTGACAGTGATTCAGGCCATACACAAAATATGCCGCTTCAGTCAGGCAGTGGGTATGGTGTACTCGCATACTAGGGACTAGGGCACTCACCAAACCTGAGCCAGCCTGGTTAAGTTGGGGGAGGGGGCAGGGAGGCAGGGGAAGGGAGCAAACAAAGAAGACACCAGAGCTGAAGCTAGAAAACCCTGAAGAAAACAAGGGAAGTCTCCGTGTTGTCTGCTGCTCCGATCTGGAAGGTTCCGCAAAGGCCAATGTGTTAAAAGCTTGGTCCCCAGCTTGCCACCAGCCCTGGAGGTGTGCAGCCATCTTGGTCACAGGGGGAATTGTTTTACACACATGCTCCCACTATTATGAGCTGTCCATCCCAACAGAGGTCTAAAGCCAATGAGCCCACCCAGAGGTTCCAGCCTCTGTAGTGTAGGCTTAAAACATTTCTTTGAGACGTTTTTGCACAGTCAGGCCAGACTTGAATTCCTTACCTTCCTCCTCAACCTCCTGAGTACAGGATTTATAGAATTATACCATCATATTCGACTCTAAAACTTGATAACTCGGTTGTACTAGGTATTTGTTGTGGCAGGAATAAAGCTGACAGCTTCAGCTCTGGTGACAGAATCTCTGCTGCAATAATGGCACAAGCAACGAAGAAAAAAGACCAAGTGAACCGTGGGACTCAGAGCATGCGAGCTTGAAAGACTCAAGAGTGTGAAGACACCGTGCGGAAGAGGTGGCCTAGCTGCGAATTACACATCTAGCAGCGGACTCCATCTGACAAAGGACTCAAGACTCAGAAAAGACAAAAGAGACAGAAGATAACGAGCAGAAAGCTCTCTAGCAACCAAATGGCCGGCCAGTAAGAACACGAGCAGGTGTGAAGCCGCATTAGCTTCCAGGGAAGTGAAATCAAAGCCTGCGGAGAGATCCCCTTCCACTAGGATGGTGCAATTCCAAAAGTTCTAGAAGTGTCGGTGAGGAAGAAGGGTCTGAACCCCGCTCCTGCTCCTCAGGTGAGAACGAGACACAACCTCTGGGAGAGAGGTCTTCTTGGTATCTGAATGGTTACAGGCCCCAACAATCCCATGCCTTGGCGGATGCCCAAAAGATCTGAAAGCGTGGGTCTAGACAACAGCTTCCTCGTGGCACTGGGTATAGTAGCCCAAGAGGGGGAAGTACTTCAGTGTCTGATGGACATGACCTGTTGTCCAATGAGCATGCAGGGTGGACTGTGTATTCACCACCCCTCTGGGATCAATGCCCAGGAATGAAATGTTTTAACTGTTTTTAAAATGACCACCTAGCTGGGCGGATGACACACCCCTATGCTCCCAGCACCTGGTGAAGGAAGGCAGGAGGATCGGGGGTTCAAGTTCACACCCACAACCTCAGTTCACCTGACCGATAACGCATACTGTAGAGTGTGGTCTTCACATGTAACTCCAATTGCTTCTTGACTTTTCTGTAACGCAGTGAATACCGACCACACCTCTCCAAACGCCAACTGGAGCGGTTCATTGCCGCAGGCCACAATGCTGGGGTTTTCTCTATGCCTCCTTGTGAAGCCAGCAGCAATAAAGAGCACTAAAGACACCTCCACTTTGTCCCCCGCTGCGTACTACACCATCAATAACTGTGCCTTGTGGGAGTTTTGATGACCTGCTAGACCTGCACAGTGCATCCAGTTGTCAAGGATTTCTATGGTCTCTGATGATATCATGGAGTTCGTCCAGGAAATAGGTAAGGACAGCTTGTACCTTCTCGGTGACTGTGTGCCTAAACACGACTTTTTCACATGTCCTGTAGAATCTATTACACTGGTTATCTTCCTTGGTAAACACTAAAAGTATCTGAAGATTATCTTGATGAAATCTCATCAGGCCAACTGCTCATCGGTTACTGATACCTTTGAGGTGCTGCTCTTGTGAGGCTGAGGCTCCACGATCCTGGCACAGCCAAAGCTGGATGCAGTCGACCACCACCATCTAGACTGAGCACCCTAGTCCTCACTGAGGGCGCTTGTCTTTAATCTCAGCACATGAGAGGCAGAGGCATGTGGATCTCTAAGTTTGAGGCCAGTTGGATCTACAGAATGAGATCCAGGACAGCCAAAGACACACAGAGAAGCCCTGTCTCAAAAAAACAAAAATTAAAACTAAAAATAGAATTTTTAAAAAGCTACATAAAGATGAAAAATACACAGAGAATCTGGATACTGTATGCTATTGTGTTGTGTTTCAATTGTTTGGCTGCTGAGGAAGGAGCAACAGCTCCTAAAAGACATTGGCTTCTAAGTGCTGCTGGATTAATCCAACCTATATATTTTGAAAATGCCTTGACTTCAAAATTTAAGTCAAAAGAGACATTACTTTGGAAAATAGGTTTTGCTTTTGTTTCCACAGGAAATGAGAGGCTGTGGATTCAATTCTGTGGACAGAAATTCATTCTGTGGATAGGTTTTGATCAAGGAAGACCCCCAGAAAAATTTTCAATGAGAACAGATGGCTCAGATTCACCAACGTCTCAGAGCACCTCTGTTGCAGTTTCTTCTGAGTTCTGCATCCAGAACAGCTTCAAGGCTGCTGGCTGAGATGATCAAGCCTCAAAGAATACTCCAGTCAGGACTTGACCACAATCCTAAATTTTCTTTGGATCCCCATAAGATTATCAGCACCCCCAACCAGCAGGAAGTAGCCTAGAAAACTATACCCACATTCCCAAAAAATATGGATTATAGGTATTTGTCATTGTTTAGAGGGGTTGGTTACAAGTAATGGTAATGGTCAGGAAAAAAGCTAAATAAATGAAATTATCAAGGTTTATGTTTTTTTAAAAAAGGAGGGATATAGATATGATATGATAAAAGGGTAGATTATTGAACCTACTCTGAAAAGAAAAATGGGAAGATATATTAAGATAAAAAGGTAAATTATTGAATCTACTTTTAAAAAGCAACTGTTAGTTTTAAATGTTTTACATTAGATTGAACTTTTGTATATGTATGCAAATTTTGTATATTATACAAATTTGAGATTAATTTTGTTACAACATACTATACATATATATATATATATATTTACTCTTGTTCAAGGTATTGTACCTACATAACTCATTTAACAATGTAATGCAAATTTCTAGTTCTTGAAATTATTACCAACTGCATAAGATAATAACACAGAGTTAGTAGTTAGTCATCTATTATTATATCTGAACTTATAGTCAAATAAGGTATGTTTTCAAAGTCAGATATATTTTAGATATAGACGGGTCATCTTCAAACACTTCAGAGATCTACAGAATATGGCATTTAAAATGTTTTAATAACCTAGGTTCTTCTTTTTTATGTCAGGGAGACATGTCTGTTCCTGGCAGCACCAATCTACTTTAGAGAAGATAATGACATCAAACAAACTCCACATGGAGTTTACTTTCTTTGCGGCAAAAGTAAGCCATTGGGCAAGAAAATGTCCTTCAACTGCTGACAGTATGCTGTCCTAACTAGACAAACAGGACACAGAAGAAAGTGACTGCCAAACACTGTCAAGACAAGGACGGACAGCCCTTCAGAATAGTCTGCCTTCACAGAAAGTGTGTCAGATATGATAGGCCTGTAGGCTGAAGATGGAAGTCGCAATGTTTAGAAGAACCCTGAATGACTGTCCAGGCAGACAGCTGTTTCTGTCATTTCTCAGAGTTTTTGGAAGTCTCTTGCTTGTATTTCCTGCTTACTTAGTTAATATTTCCTTCTCAGGTCTCTGAGGGAGTTGAAGACTTTATAGTTATAGTTTGCCAGATGCAGAAAGCAAGTGATGATAAAAAATAAATTAGGTATAAGACTTTGGATTCACCAAGGTAGGATAGATATGGAGTATTTTCTCTGAATTTATCAAACGCAAATAGACTAGATATTGTTAATGCATTTATTGCCTGTATATATTGAATATAATTATTGTACTTTATAGTTTTTCTTATATTAGTTATAGTCTTTCCCCTTTTAATACTAGATGAAAGGGGAAATATGATATTTCATTTGTATTTTAATAAATAAAGCTTGCCTGAAGTTTGGAGAGTAAGACAGCCACAATGATCAACATTACAGACCAGGAAGTGGCGACACACACCTTCAATCCCAGTAGCCACACTAGTTTGCCATAGGAACTGGGTGATAGTGGTGCACACCTTTAATCCCAGCCCTAGAGAGGAGTATAAGATGCGAGGAGACAGCTCTTAGGCTCAGTCTCATTTTGAGATTCTTGGAGGCAGGATCGCCATTTCAGACTGAGGTAGAGGTAAAAGCCAGTGACTGGCTGTTTTGCTTTTCTGACTTTCAGGTTGAACCCAAATTTTTGTCTCTGGGTTTTTATTGTGTTACGACTGTCCTTCAAAACAAAAGCAAAAGCAAAAACCAAAAAAAAACAAAAATGCCAAAACAAATAGCAAAATACAATCAGTTTTCCAAAGCCATCCCCAATTTTACATTCCTGGGGGAAGTGACATTTAAGCTGAAAACCTCAAAGATGGGAAGAGATCAAGCCATGAGGTCAACAGGGAGAATTCTGTCTGACCCATGGGCACAGCAGTGAAAGGGAGTGCCTGAGGTCCCACAGATGGGAAACAATGGCTGCGGAGGACTCAAGAGGAAACTGGTAAGATCTGTGCTGAGGGCCCTGAAGGATGACAGGACCTGCATTGTGCTGTGTGTGTGTGGGGGGGTGAGTGTGAGGGATGGAGGCTCTTTGGGATGTAAATGCCAGCCACCTGGTGTTCAAGGTGCCAGGTTAGAGTGTGGAGGTTAACTCGCATCTGAACCCTGACTTAGCCTGGAAGATGCTGGGTGAGTGTCTCAACTCTGGCTACGAGGTGGGAGTCAAGTTCCCTATGGCAAGCATTCTGAGGACCGCACTTATGGGTGGGAAAGTTTCAGACTGGTGTCAAGGCTGCCTCATGACTCCATAGGCAGCAAAATCCACTACTGGACTCCAGAGTCAGCCAGGAGTCTGAGCAGAGCTGTTGCCACAGCCGCTGGCCCTGGCACAGATTGCCTAGGAGTACTAGTCCTGCTGTGACTGTTATGCCCAAATCCGCGAAGCCCCACAAAAGCCAACCAGTAAACCAAGAGTCCCGTATTTAAAAGCAAAGAGCCTTTATTTTAATCAAGTTTGCAAACTCAGTCCCTCCGCATGTCCAATGTATTGGAATATACTGGAGAGCCCTGAGCTCAATTAGAATAGGGTGTTATAGTAGTAAAGGTGGGGGTGAGGGGTTTTTGAGGTTTTAAGACCCCTGATTGGCTGACATTTGTCTAGGGGTGCCCTGGTGAATGTGCCCTGGTAGATGTTTCTATCTACAGCAGTTGGAATGCCAGGCATTTCCCTTGACTGGTCTGTTTTTTTTTTTTAATATTTATTTATTATGAATACAATATTCTGTCTGTGTGTATGTCTGCAGGCCAGAAGAGGGCACCAAACCTCATTACAGATGGTTGTGAGCCACCATGTGGTTGCCGGGAATTGAACTCAGGGCCTTTGGAAGAGCAGGCAATGCTCTTCACCACTGAGCCATCTCTCCAGCCCCCGAATGGTCTGTTCTTGTGTGGGGGTCAGGTGATCTCAGCCTGTGGTCCCTCCTACAGCCAGGCATTGTCTCAGGGTAAACTATTGAGACTCAGGCCTCTGTTGAAATCCATCGATGGCCAGAGTCCCAGGTGATAATGGTTGGAAGAACTTCCTTTGGGTGACCTGCCCGGACTTAGCTTATCAAGGCTGGCCCCCACAGCTGCAGCCCAGGTACAGCCATGCAGGGCTAGGTGTGGGGAGCAGCGTAGGCTTTTTTGCCCTCTCAGGGTCCCCCACACCAGCACCTCCACAACCCCAAAGGCTCCATCATTTGGGAGTAGTTTTGGATCTTTATGTAGTTATCACCACTGGTGACAGACTTCATCCTCTAGTCCTCTCCCTCACTATGTAGTGTGAGGCAGAGAGCCCCAGTCCTCTAATCCTACCTGGGTCTTTCTGGTGACCAGGCCCTGTCCTGGAACTACTCCCAAGGGCTGCCAGACCCCCAATGATCCCATCCACACACAGAAGTTCCAAATACAAGCCAGTGATCCAGCCACAGAGCTGACATACACTCTATCGCACACACTCCAAGAACAGGTGAGTCCTGGGTACCCTGGTGGGCACTAGAGCATGCTGGTGTGCGGCATGTGTGGGTATATTGTATGAGTGCATGCGAGGGGCAGATGCTCAGTTGGACTCTAGGGCTTTAAACTAGACTTTGTGGTTCCACTAGTCCCTCTGCTGCCACCCTCACCGACCCAGCCACTCAGGCAAAGAAAAACCAGGCAGGGTCCAAGGCTCCTGGCAGGGCATCCACCGGCACTGGAGGCTCCTGGGTGCAGGTTCCTCACCAAGCCTCCTTTGTGTTCGGGCCAGGAGGCCTCTGCATGACAGCAGGTCGGTCACTTGTGGTCTTTGCACCACACAAAAGGACAGACAGAACCAGACTCTTTAGGATTCATTCAAGAGGCCCAAAATTCTAAAGGAGCTGTCAGGGGCAAAAAAGAAAGCCAGCTTCCTCCCAACCCTGTTTAGTCTTCCCTCATCCCTTCTCCCTCCTCCTTCCCCTCCCCCCTTCTTTCCTCTCTTCTCCCAAACCCCATCCCCTCCCAGACACTCTGGTGGAGTCTGGAGGACCCTAACATCCAGGAGTCCCCTCCGCAGCCTGCCCCATTCCAGCACCCTGGTTCATCAGGTCTGTCAGGAAGAGCCAGGAGGTTGCAGGGCAGGAGCTGAGCAGGACTTAATCTTCCCTGGAATATTAATGGTACTGTCAGGAGAGCCGGGGAAAAGCTGAGCAATCTGCCTTATTAACAAGGCAGTGCCAGCTGAGCAGTGCCCCCCCCCCCCCGGGCCCAGCTGGGCGGCCTGCGTCGTCGGCCCAGCTGTAGCAAACTGGAGAAGCCAGCCCCAGGCCAGGATGGGTGTGACAGGAGGAGGAGCTTGGAGGAGTTAGGAGCCTCATGACACTCACCCCACCCTCCTGTCTCTTTAGAAAGGCCGCCCCTGGGGCTGCAAACTCTCCCTGTGGTTTGTCCCCATCACAGGCACCGCCCTCTGTAATTGTCTGGCCCAAAACTTCTCTGCCTTGGAAACGCTAGAGTCTCCTGGGGAAAGCCAACCACCCTGATATCCTGCCCACCCAGGATCCCTCACCTCACCTGTGGGCCAGGCAGATTTCATGCATATACCCACGCTATGAGTCAACTCTGAGCAGGTTTATAGTGGAAGAAACCGAGGCAGAGGTGGAAAGTCTTGCTTAGGCATACAGGGAGCAGAGGCTGCTGCAGGCGCCTGGGTACCTGAGGAAGGGAAAGGCCGGGAGAAGACAGGACGCCTGTGGCCCCGGCTCTTTTTCTTAAAAACAAACACTGCGGAAGCCATGAAGGAAGCAAGTAACATGGAGGCTGCTGCTTAGAGAGTTCACTCACTATCCTTGCCTGGGGGTTTTCAGAGGCTTTATCTGTGGGGAAACAGAGTCTGGGCACACTGAGGCAGCTTCTCAAGCCACTGTAGTTATGAGCTGGGGATGAGAACAGATGCTGCCTCCGGGTCTGACTGTGATG